ATGTGGGATCCGAACCCTCGGGTGGCTCAGTGTTGCCCCCGTACCGGACCGGGGACCGGCAACGGGATCGCAAGCCTCGGTGTTGCTCCCACACCTCGCTCAGCCAGGGAGCAGGAACCGGTCTGTATGTGGGATCCGAACCCTCGGGTGGGAGCACTGCCGCGCTTCCCAAGCGGCGCACTATCCAGTGCGCCACCGGGCCAGCCCGGAAGTGAATTTTTTTTTAAAAAAAGGAAGTAGCATCACAAAGCTGTGGAACAATAAGGCTATTTTTTTCTAATGTTAATATTTCTAATTTTCATACATTACTGGCATAATTTTTAACACTTCTAGCCCTTTGGGAAATTGTCAGTTTTAACCACTTATATATGCACTTAATGTAGAACTAAGCAATTCTACTCCTAGGTATTTACCCAAGTGAATTGAAAACTGATGTTTTCATAAAATTCTGTATGTGAATGTTTAGAGCAGCTTTATCAACAATTACCAAAACCTGGAGACAACTTTTGTCCTTCAAATGGCTAATGCAAAAGCTCCGGTACATCCATAACAATGAAATATCATACAGCAGTAAAAAAAAAAAAAGAGCTACTGATAGTCTCAACTGAGCTAAAAATTCTCACGTATTATGCTAAGTAAGGAAATTTTTTAAAAAGTCTCAAAACTAAATACTATAGCCAAAGATTCTGCAGAGAAAGAAAATTACAGACCAACATGTCTTTGAACACTGGTGCAGAAGTCTTTAACTAAATACCAGCAAACCAAAATCAGCAGCTTGTTAAAAGGATTATATACCATGACCAAGTGGGATTTATTCCAGGAATTCATGGATGGTTCAAATGAAAATCAGTAATTGTGTTACACCATATTAGCAGAATGAGGGAGAAAATCTCACAGGGTTATCTCAGTTGATGCAGAAAAAGCATTTGACAGAATTCAGCTCCTTTTCATGATAAAAACAATCAGCCAAAAAGAAATAGAATGGAACTGCCTGAACATAATAGTCATGTATGAAAAACACATAGCATTCAAAATTCTTAAAGACTAAAAGTTTTTAATCTGAGATAAAGAACAAGACAAGGATTCCCCCTTTACCATGTCTGTACAGCACAGTACTGTAGACCTAGCCAGAGCTTTTAGGCAAGAAAAAGAAATAAAAATTGGATCCAATTTGGAAGGGAAGAAATAAAATTATTTCACACATGCTATGATCTTATATGTAGAAAACCCTAAAAATACCACAAAAAATTGTTAGAGTGAATAAATAGATGAATTAGGTAAAGGAACAGGATACAAAGTCATGAACAGTCTGAAAAGGAATTTATGAAAACTTTATTTACAATATCAGAAAGAGTAAAATACTAAATAGATACTAATTGTATTATGAAAACTATGAAACATTGCTGATAAATTAAAGAAGGTAAAAGTAAATGGAAACACCTCATGTTCATAGACTGGAAGACAAATATTGTTAAAATGTAAAACGGTTAAAATACCTTTTTAATCAGTTTTTGTTGCTTAGAATACCTGCAACTAGGAAATTTATAAAGAAATAAAACTTATTTCTTGCGATTCTGGAGCCCGGAAAGTCCTAGGTCAAAAGGGTGCATCATGTGAGGACCTTCTTCCTTGGGGGGGGCTGCAGAATCCTGAGTTGGCTCAGAGCATCACAGGAACAAGGGAATGTTAATATGCTCACTTGCTTTCCTTATAAGGCCACTAGTCTATTCCCTGAAAACCCATTAACGCATTAACCCATTAATACATAAATGGATTATTTCATTCCTGAGGGCACCTACTTCATATTCCAGTTACCTCAATAAAGAACCCACATTTCAGACACCACATTAGGGTTAAGCTTTTAACACGAGCTTTGGAGGGGAAAAACATTTAAACCATAGCACTACCCAAAGGAACCTACTGACTTAATGCAGTTCCTATCAAAATCCTAGTGATACTCTTGCAGGTAGAAAAACCCATCCTAAAATTTATATTGAAAATCAAAGGACCCCAAATAGCAAAAACAATTCTGAAAAACTACAAAGCTGGAGGACTCACACTTCTTTATTTCAAAACTTATTACAAAGCTACAGTAATCAAAAAGTGTGATACTTATATGAGACAGACGTAGCCAGTGGAATAGAATAAGGATCCCAGAAGTAAACCCTTGCATGTATTATCAAATGATTTTTGACAAAGATACTAAAACCACTTAATAAGAAAGAACAATATTGTCAATAAATGATGCTGAGAGAATTGGAAACCCCCATGGAAAATAATGAAATTGGATCTTTAGCTAACACTACATACGAATATTAATTTAAAATTGGTCAAAGATCTAAAAGTAAGACCTAAAACTATAGAATTCTTATGAAAGAAAATGAAGGGCAAAAGCTCGTGATACTGAATTTGGCAGTGCTGTATCTTGGATATGATACCAAAGGCACATGCAGCAAAAAAAAGACATATTGGATTTCATGAAAATTTTAAAATTTTGTGCAACAAAAGACAGTATCAACAGAATAAAAAAGCAAACCACAGAATTGGAGACGCATTTGCAAACTGTATATCTGACAAGGGGTAATATGCAGAATATATACTCAACTCAACAGCAACACAATAAAGTTGAGCAAAGTAATTGAATAGGTGTTTCTCCAAAGAAGACAAAAATGTTCAATAGCCACATGTGAAGATGTTTAACAAAACTGCATGGAAATACCACCTCACACGCATTAGGATGTTCACTATAAAAAATAAAAATACCATAAAATGACATTTTGGGAGGAGGATGGGAAGAAATTGGAATAGCAGAATATAAGTACAACCACTGGAAAATATGATGGTTACTCAAAAAATTAAAAATAGAACTACCATATGATCTAGCAATTTTATTTCTGGGTATAAAACTGCAAAGAATTGAAAGGGTTGCAAAGAGATAGCATACACCCATATTCACAGTAGCTAAAACATGGAAGCCTCCCAGATATATACATGCTATGAAGTTCAGACACAGGCTACAACATGATTGAACCTTGACATTATTCTAAGTGAAATAAACCAGTCACAAAAAGAGATATTGTATGATTCGACGTGTGTGAGTTACATAGAGTAGTCAAAATCATAGACAAAGTAGGATAGTGATTTCCAGGGGCTGTGGGTAACAGGTTTTTGGGAGTTGTTTAATGGGTATAGAGTGTAAGATGAAAAGAATTCTACAAGTGGATTGTGGTGATAGGTACACAACAATATGAACGTGCTTAATGCCACTGAACTTTACATTTTAAAATGGTTAATATGGTCAATTTTACATTATACATTTTTTTACCACAATAAAAATATATATATATACATTATAAAGATGATGAAGGGTAACATTTTAGTTGATCTGTGTTCCCCTTAAAGCCTGGCCTTATTTATGTACTAGTGAAGCCTAATACATTAGCTTTTTTCTTCTTTTTAAGTCTATTGCATTTTTCCTTTTTATTGGTCACTATTGTATTATTGGCTTATTTTGATTTGAAATACACTGGAATCTTCCGGTTAATACTGCTTGTTCTGCATTCTTCTACTCTTTAATTTGCAGTCATGCTTTTGAACTAATCTCATAAAAAATATGCCCTCAAATTTTGTCACTATGTAGCTGTCAGAAAGAGCAATTCTGTTCCTCTTCATAATTCTGAACGTTAAACTCGTTTCTTGTGCTACTGGGAAGTTATACAGCTCCAGGAAGTCGCAAGGCACCATCACAACTGCTCAAATTGTATCCAGGCAGAATAATCAGTCAATCAGAAATTTTGGTCCCAGTCAGATGGAAGTTTTTTGGGCCAACTTGGACAAGCACACAGGACAAGTTCGACTTTACTGCCAAGATCACTTCCAGGACATTGGCTAATTAATTATAAAAGCTTTTTCAAAACAAATTTGAGCCTGGTAACCTTTTTTTCCTACCCAAACAGAAAGAAAAAAAAAAAAAAAAAAAAAACAGGTTAAATAGTAAGTTGTTTGTGTATTTTATGACAATTAAAAGAAAAGTAGGGAAAAAAATCTGTGTGATATCCTGTGACATTCTAAAAGAGGGTACTCTAGACTAAAAACAAATCACTGGTTGCCAGGAAATAATGGTGGAAGGGTTTGAGTAGAAAAGTATTAGGAAATTTTGGAGGGTGCTTGTGGATGGTTTGGTGTGTTAATTGTGGTAATTATTACACACTACCTACCATTTGTAAAACGCACATCTTTGTCCTCAAAAGAGTGAATTTTACTGTATGTAAATTAAAATTTAATTTTTTAATTTGGTAATAAATTTCTTAAATTGTGTAAGTATACCACAGGAAAAGACATCTCCTTACCAAGTTCAGAATACTGCCATTACTTTTGCTAAAAATGATATATTCTCTCATGTAATTATTCTTGATAGGTGGTCTTGAGAGCTCTCAGCATCACCTGTATTTTAGCATCAGTTCTCATTTTGTGTATACACAATCTGTATTTTTTTCCTCAGGATTGTTTCACCTAAATTTTAAGTCCATTCAGGTTACTGTACTCTAGAACAGTGCAAATCTTTCTCTTTTCACTTGGAAAAATCACTTTAGTTAGGATTAAAGTGGTATGATTTTACTGTCACCTAAAATTTAAGCAAAATCAGATATCAAAGTAGTAATTATAGCATCTATATAAGAGTTTCTGTCTCTTGTAAATGGCATCTTTTTTTGAACTGAAAGTGTGTGTATGTACTATTTCATAAAGCAAACATTTGTATAACTTGTTTGTCTTCATTACATCATTAGTTACGATAATGCTTTGACACTGCAGTTATCTTTACTATGAGCTTAAGTTTGATTACCATTATCACTCCATACATAATGTGCATTGGTTTATTTCTCCTTAGTGTGTGAAGGGATAAAATCTCTGCTTATATTTCTGTCATTTTGTTGTTATGAAAAATAAAATACAGATATTCTGGGGAGGTATTATATTGCTTCATTCTTTTCCTTTTTTAGACTTTGGGGTGAACCTGTTAATCTCCGTGAACAACATGATGCCTTAGAGTTTTTTAATTCTTTGGTAGATAGTTTAGATGAAGCTTTAAAAGCATCGGGCTATCCAGTTATGCTGAGTAAAGTCCTAGGAGGTTCCTTTGCAGACCAGAAGATTTGCCAAGGCTGTCCACATAGGTTAGTGCTAATTACTTTTTAAATTAATTCTTTGTATTGGTTTGCTTTTTTTAATAGTGTAAATGAAATTTTTGCTAGTATTAATGTAAAAGCAGAGTATGCCGATGACTAAATGCCAGGGACTGTGAATAGATTATATTCATATGCATACTTTACTGTTTTATTGCCTTCTCAGTAACATTTCATTCTTTTTATTTATTTATTTATTTTTTATTTTTTATTTTTTATTTTTATTTTTTTTTGTCTTTTTCCGTGTCCAGCAACGGATCGCAACCCTCAGTGTTGCCCCCGTACCGGACCGGGACCGGCAACGGGATCGCAGCCCTCGGTGTTGCTCCCGCGCCTCGCTCAGCCAGTGAGCGGGAACCGGTCTGTATGTGGGATCCGAACCCTCGGTGGGAGCGCCGCCGCGCTTCCCAACATTTCATTCTTTTTACTTTGCTTAATACCTTGTTTTTTCCTCATTCATTCTTACTTGCTTTGTTATATTGTAAGATATGGCATTTTCCATAAAGCCATAGTTATTATTTAAAAAGCTACTTACTTATTATACTTTAATTAAAATAATAAGTGGAATATCTTAATGTAAAGTTAGATAACTGGCAGATTTGGAGTAGCATTTCCTATACAAATTAATACTTGACTTTTAAATTACCGTCAGTGCCTTGTAACAAACACCAAGGTCAAGGGTTCGGTTCCCCATGCCATCGAGTTGCCAAAAAAGTACTAATTACCATCAGTTTTTGTTATTCTTTAGATATGTTAGATATCTTTGCACATCAAGACATTTAGCAAGAGTTGTTAAGATCATATTCTGTGTTTTGGACTTAATCAAAAAGAAAATTGATTTTTTTAAAGGATTCTTAAAGTAAATAACTTGATTAATATTAATCAAGAAATTAATATTAATTATCAGAAAGTTCATTGATGGACACATTTAAGCCGATCATGGAAGTTTTACTTTGGGGATTGACATCTTGTTATGTTGATGCAATGTAGATTTGAAATTCTCACCAAAATAATATAATAAAGTAGCATTTTCTACAAGCCAGTTTAGATTAAATGTAAACATTGGTTGGCTGTACATAGGTAAAGCAAGTCTTTTCACAGATTGGAAATGATTTGGGGAAAAGTAATATTACATAAAAAGCAATTTTCTCATGTCATAGTACCATTTGTTCAGGAGGTAGGGAGACACTTATTTACCTAGCCTAGCCAACTTTTGGTTCTTATGAAAAAGTTACTAAGTAAGTGGACAGTAAAAAGTATCCAGCTTTCTGATCACCCGCTCCTATTAGTCCTCCTCAGTTTCTTACTCATTTTAAAAGTTGGGAGGAATTTAATGTTTTATTCTTCTAAGTAAAAATATCCAAAGTACCTGGCAGGTACTCTTGAAATATTGGTTGGATAAATGGATTTGATGGTTGAGAATGTATTTTCCTCACATTTCCTGAATTTATGAGTATGTGTCATCAGAAACTCTAAAAGTCTCTTTTGTAGAAAATCACCACAGTCTGTAATGCTGGCTCATTTTCACATTATTTATCCTCTCTTCATTTTTATGGCTCTATATGGCAGAACATTAGAGTAATATAAGCATGTCACGTATTTGAGCTTGTGTATTAAGAAAGCTTCTATTGGGCCGGCCAGGTGGCGCACTGCTTCAGTGCCCCGCTTGGGAGCGTGGCGGCGCTCCCGCCGAGGGTTCAGATCCCACATACAGACCGGCCGCTCACTGGCTGAGCGAGGTGCGGGCGCAACACTGAGGGTTGCGATCCGTTGCCGGTCACAAAAAAAGACAAAAAAGGGAAAAAAAAAAAAAAAGAAAGCTTCTATTGCAGAAATGTATGAACATTTAAAAACTGAGTTCATTAGAAAGTTAGAATAGCCTTTTTCTGAATTTGATGAATCCTTACATTTTCCTTGGCATGAATTACTATTTAAGCAGATAACATATGTCATGTGATAGAGTATAAAGAACTGTTAGGCAGTGAGGCCAGACTAACATGGCTTCAAATCATTGCTCCTCCTAGTCAGTGTATGACACATTTATTTGACATTAAATAATAAATAATGCAGATGTATTTTTCATCAGGTTCACGATTAAAGATAACATTTAGAAACCTAATGATGAAATCCTTCTGATTGTTTCTGAAATATGTTTAGGTACGAATGTGAAGAATCTTTTACCACTTTGAATGTGGATATTAGAAATCACCAAAATCTTCTTGATTCTTTGGAACAGTATGTCAAAGGAGATTTATTGGAAGGCGCAAATGCATATCGTTGTGAAAAATGTGATAAAAAGGTACTGTCCAATTTTTTAAAATAATTATGATTGCCTGTAACTACTGTAAGATGTCACAGTTGTTTGTGCTTATCCTCAAAATTAACCTCTGCTCTCTCTCTACTTTGTTATAGTGGTAGCAGAGAGGTAGACAAGATGATAACTGATTTAATGATATGTTAGCAAGGAATATTGAGGTAGAAATAATGCCAGTGGACTTGGAAAAATTATTTTTACTAGGTGAATAGTTTCAGAAGTCATAATAGTTACTTTTTCCTGGAGTTTTTATGACACAGGTAGTTTCCATCTTGCTATTGAACTGCTCAAAATCTTTGTTAGTGGTAAACATTTTGCCTTTCATACTTCAGGTTACTTTTCAAGTCTAAGAAGTCACTTGCACTTTTACCACTGGCTGTGATCTGAGACACAATCAACTACTTTTTATCTTTGGGCACTTAGTTTGGGGATAGAATAATAACATTTCTTTGAAGTACTATATAGTAAATAATATATATCTTTGGCCCCTCATGCACTCTTATCTCCAAGTTGACTACATTGTTTTGACTTTAAACTGAATTTAAGTTGTCTGTAAAGACATAGTACTTGCTATTCATAGCTTTGGGACTTGGGACAATTTCTCCTTACCTTTTCTTACACTTTTAATTCACTTATTTTAAAATAATGATGTAGGTAGTACCTTTTTCAGAGAGCAGTGAGGATTAGGTTCATTAGTATGTGAATAGCCCTTACTGTGTTACCTGGCATCCAAGTACCTTAAATATTAACTGCTTTTATTGTTGCTTACAGTTTTCAGGTAACTCACAGCAGGTTCTATTCATTAGCATAATAGAAGTAACAGAGAAGTAACAATATAAAGTAACATAGTCAGACAGCAGTGACAATATGGAACTAGTTGTCCAGGAGTGTCTGTATCACTAATTTTTCCAATTTATGAGAAATGAGAGACATTTACATATTTTTAGGCTTGGTAAAACTGTTTAGAAGTCAGTTACAGTCATGTGTTGTTTAATGAGTGGGTTATGCTTTGAGAAACATAATGTTAGGTGATTTTGTCATGTGAACATCATAGAGTACACTTACACAACATAAGTAATACAACATACCACACACTAGTCTATATGGTATAGCCTACATCTCCTGAACCACAAACCTGTACAGCTAGTTACTATGTACTGAGTATTGTAGGCATTGTAACACAGTGGTAGCATTTGTGTATCTAATCATAGAAAACATATAGTAAAAGCATGGTACTATAATCATATAACTATCGTGTATGTAGTTTATTATTGACCAAAATGTCATTATGCAGCACATAACTGTGATATAATTACCCTGATTGTATTCATTATTATTTATTTGTCTGTTTGTAAATACATTTAGATAGGTTCTAAAGTTTTTAATTATATTATTAAATTTTATATTTTATTTGGGTTATAAGAGAATATCCATGTATAATCTCTGTTTATTATAGGTTGATACAGTAAAACGCTTGCTAATTAAAAAATTACCTCCTGTTCTTGCTATCCAACTGAAACGATTTGACTACGACTGGGAAAGAGAATGTGCAGTCAAATTCAATGATTATTTTGAATTTCCACGAGAGCTGGATATGGAACCTTATACAGTAGGAGGTGTTGCAAAGCTGGAAATAGATAATGTAAATCCAGAGAGTCAGTTGATTCAGCTGAATGAGCAGTGTGAAAGTGAGACGGCAGGAAGCACAAAATACAGACTTGTAGGTGTGCTTGTACACAGTGGTCAAGCAAATGGTGGACATTATTATTCTTACATCATTCAAAGAAATGATAAAGATGGTGAGAGACATTGCTGGTATAAATTTGATGACGGAGATGTAACAGAGTGTAAAATGGATGATGATGAAGAAATGAAAAATCAGTGTTTTGGTGGAGAGTACATGGGAGAAGTATTTGATCATATGATGAAGCACATGTCATACAGGCGGCAGAAAAGGTGGTGGAATGCTTATATACTTTTTTATGAACGAATGGACACAATAGATGAAGAGGATGAGATGATAAGATCTGTATCAAAGCTAGCTATCACAAGACAACATCAGATTATTATGTCACCAGCCATTGAGAGAAGTGTACGGAAACAAAATGTGCAATTCATGCATAATCGAATGCAGTACAGTATAGAGTATTTTCAGTTTGTGAAGAAGCTGCTTACATGTAATGCTGTTTATTTAAACCCTGTTCCAGGTAAGTTTCTAGAAATTAGCTTCTTATTAATAAAGAATAATTCTTACTTCACCTTTAGGGTTTCTTACTAGGGCATCAAAGTGTGTAATCTTTTTTGTCAGTTTTCTTTTTCTTTTTTTTAATAGACTTATTTAATGGGTTTGATGAATATGTCAGCATTTTTGGTTACAGTTTTTGAAAAGTAAGAGATTTAAGAGATGTATAACAATGTTTTGACTTAAGATTATTTTGAAACACGATTTTAGTGAGATGCTTCGATAATCACTGAAGATTACTCTTAACTAAGTAAGATTTTTTTAACATGGAGCTTTAAAATAAAAATGTATTTGATTGGGTATGTACTTTTTATTTAAAGGACAAGATCACTTGTTGCCTGAAGCAGAAGAAATCACTATGATTAGTATTCAGCTTGCTGCTAGATTCCTCTTTACTACTGGATTTCACACCAAGAAGATAGTTCGTGGCCCTGCCAGTGACTGGTATATACTTTTATATTTTATTCATACTGCATTTATAGTTGGTTTGATTCTTTATTATACTGCTTTACTTTTTCCTAGCTGTGAGACTATCATTTCGAGTTTTAAATATAGAATAAAAATTTTGGTAGTAATAGTGAGAGAAATCTTATTAAAATTAAGGTTGCTTAATCTGGGCTGGCTGGCTGGTTGATAACACCAAGGTCCAGGATTCCATCCCTGTTACTTGCCAGCCACCCCCAAAAAAGAAAATTCCTTCATCTAAACGTGCCTTTTTTTTGTCTTTTTTCGTGTCCGGCAACGGATCGCAACCCTCAGTGCTGCGCCCGCACCTCGCTCAGCCAGTGAGCGGGAACCGGTCTGTATGTGGGATCCGAACCCTCAGCAGGAGTGCCGCCGCGCTCCCAAGCGGCGCACTGTAGCAGTGCGCCTCTGGGCCGGCCCCTAAACGTGCCTTTTATAATCAAAAATTGGCTTCTACTTCTATTACTTATAATATCTTTAAATCTCTTTTATCACGGAAGTATTAAGCTTTATCTTTACTAATTGAAATTCTCACCATTAAAAAAGTAGATTTTCAAATAAGAGTAGTCAAGTTATTAACTAATTGTGAAAGTATGGAGAACATTATAATAACTCAATCTAACAACTCTTTCAGAATCATTCAGATTAGAAGATGTTAAGGAGATCTGACTGGACCAGGAAGAGTTTGATAATAGATTTGCAAAGACTTACACACATTCTCATTTAATTTATCTCGTGACTTTATGGGACTAGATACAGTCACAGGGCTTTTGTACTAGAACCCACCCATGATAATTAATTGTAGAGAACATCTTTGATAATTATTTGATTAATAGAAATTTATCTCTTCACTATAACAATCAAAATGAACACATTAATAAAAATAGACATTCATAGATGTTTCTGTTTTAGGTATGATGTACTGTGCATTCTCCTTCGTCACAGCAAGAATGGACGTTTTTGGTTTGCTCAAAATGTCCTTTTTAATGTTTCAAATCGCTTCTCTGAGTATCTTCTGGAGTGCCCTAGTGCAGAAGTGAGGGGTGCATTTGCAAAACTTATAGTATTTATTGCTCATTTTTCCTTGCAAGATGGGTCTTGTCCTTCCCCTTTTGCATCTTCAGGTCCTTCTACTCAGGTAATTGCACAGCTTCTCTGTAGTAATTAAATACTTAAAATTAATTTGTTTTCTGCAAGTTCAAAAAAGCAAATTTATGTGCCTCTGTTTGACATATTTTCTGTAACACAAATGCATATAGACATACATTGTGATGCCTGTGAGTGCTTAAAATTATTTTATGTTAATGAATAGTGATCATCGGTATTTTGAAAAATAAGAGAAACTTCTTTTGTTAATTCAGTTACTTGGGGTTATTTAGTAAATTTTCAGAGTCTGTATGTTTAAGATTTACTTTATAATGGCTAAATTTAAACCTTTTGTTAAGTAGCTTTTTAGCGAAGAACTGTTAACATTGGATTTTTTTTTTTACAATTACACTGCCTCACATGACATAAATCAGTAACACCTGGAGCAATTAATTCTGTCCTTATACGTGAATTTGGAGTATTAAAGACTTTATTGATTAAGGATATAAATATCCTACTTGGCCTTTAGTAGTGGCCAGTCAATGTTGGAGATATGATGTTCTGAATATCAGAGAAAAATGGCTTTTAATGAGTGTTTCCTAACTTCTGCAGTTCAACATATCCACACTAAAGAGAGTAAATCTAAAAAACTGTAACCTGGAGGGAAAAAACAGCACAAAACACTGTGATGTGAAAGCTAAGAGTGGTAAAATTGATTCCACTTTCTTTGCCAAAGTTCATGCAGCATAGAATAACCTAGACTGGTGAAATTTGTAAATAAATGCACTTTATTAATTATTAGTGTCTCTGCTTTTTTTTTTTGTCTTTTTCATGACGGGTAAGGGGATCACAACCCTTGGTGTGGTGTCGCTGCACCGCACTCAGCCAGTGAGCGCACCGGCCATTCCTATATAGGATCCGAACCCACAGCGGGAGCGTCGCTGCGCTCCTAGCGCTGCACTCTCTCCAGTGCACCACTGGGTTGGCCCCTACCAAAGCTTTTAATTCCCTCTCTCATTAATAGCAACTATATTTAATAATTTCCTTTCTGAAATTTTTCCCAAATATGTGAACATGACCCTTTTTAAGCACATCAGAGTATACATTTTCTGCATCTTGTTACTGATAAAATAACTAATATTTTATTATTCACAGGTGTGTGATAACTTGACGTTGAGTGATCACTTACTGAGAGCAGTACTAAATCTCCTGAGAAGGGAAGTTTCAGAGCATGGGCGTCATTTGCAGCAATATTTCAATTTATTTGTAATGTATGCCAATTTAGGTAAGAACTTTTCATGTGATTAATGATTGATTGTCTTATATTTTAATATTAAATGATAAAAGCTTTCTAATTAGGTGGTGAGAGGTAATTTGTTCCAAAACAGAAGTGATATTTTATGTTCATATTCTTAAAAACCTACCGTTAAGTTTTCTGTGTAATTATTTAATGGTAGTTTTCATCTTGAACTGTAAGATAATTTATACATTTGTTTTATTTCTCTGACAGTCTTTAAGGTCAGATACTGTGTCCAATTCATGTTTTTCTCTCTTAATGCCTCTTGTTGAAAGTACTGATTCCTAGGCTACATTCTATACCAGGACTAAGATAGGAACCTATATTTTCTAAAGGATCCCAAATAGTTGTGGTATTTGGTCAGATTTAAGAGTCTATTCTCTAAAGAACTTAGCATGCACATGCATTTTTGTTAAACTAAATTAAAATTAGTAATAGTGTAAATAAGTAATTAAATTCTTTTGTTGATATCAGTGCTGGTTAATAAATAACATTTTTCAGCATATCCTTAGGTAGCCTGCTTTTTCTCAGATCAGCTATTCATTTCTTCTTTTCAGTGATTCCAAAGTGCTTACCAAAGAAATTAAGTTGTGCCTATTGTGTTGTGTTTAGATGATTTTTCAGATTTTTTGCAGAATTCTTGCAATCAGGAGTTTGCACAGAAGTAATCTGTCATTTTTTATAGAATGAATAGATTGACAGCCAGAAATATATGTCAAAAGTTATTCCAGTATTTTCAGTGTTGTTTTAGGTTATTTATTGTTTGTGGAAGGCAAGTAAATTTCTTACAGATGTTATTTAAAATTTGGATATCAATGATTTAGGTGTTAGTACACCGGTAATTCAAAACTACTAATTTATTGAGGCCTAATCTAGTTGAAATTTTAGTGATTTTAACAAATATTGGTGACTTTTTTCTTAGCACAAATCCACCATTATATTCTGTGCCCAGTGGCCTTACCAGGAAATTTACTTCAGAACTTGGCATGAACTGTACCACTGTTCTCATGGATACTATTTACATTTCCACACGTTACTCTGATTTTGTTCTGTCTGCTGCCAGAAATCACCACGTAAATACATCTCCTGCCCAAACAGAATTGTTTCATCTTGGGCATACACACCTTCAATGTTAAGAAGAGCTGTGTACTCCCTTTGGACACTGCTTATAGCAAGCAAAATGACCTTGGAACAGTCTTCTAGACATATTTGCCTTTTAGAAGTCTTATTGCCAGGAGGCCTCCATTGGCTCCAAGATGGCAGAAAGAGCTGGTCACAGTTTTGTGAAGAATTGATTTTGAAAACTGGCAGATAGTTTTGAGTAATTTTTTAAAAATCATAAACATATGCAAAATTAATTTCTCTTCATGTATTTCCTTATTTAAAGTGTTATCTGGGTAAACTTATTAATTTAAAAAATCACAGATAGTTAACAAAAAGAGATTCTAACATTTGTTTTTCTTTCTCTGATAATCTCCATCACGTCTGACCATAATAGATTCTGGAAGAGAATATCACACAACCAAACAAATGTAAAAATACAAAATTTAAAACTTACAAAAATTGTATTTTGCATAGATGTTGCCTACTCATAAACTACATATCAGTGGTTTATAATATAATCTTATTTTCACTACCAGGAATAAGTATAAATTTATAAATCTTAATATTAAATCCTTAGGGCCAGATAAGTTTTAGGTTGTAGAATTTTTTGGATTTTAGAAAGGGGGTAAGGCAGTGCATTGGCAACACATTGTGTTATATTCCCAGTGTAAGGCCTTAGGCAGCACTCTGTAATCAAACATATTAATTTTTCTGTGATGAATAATGAATATTCACGTACTTTAAGGGTAGGGAGAGGATAAGTGAAACTCTAAATAGCCTCATTTTAATTCAGGTCATATTTTACTGGAAAATCAATTATAATACCAACCTTATGAAAAAAACTTTATAGAACTTTTGAATTTCAGATAAAATATTGTGGCCCTGTCTTTATCGTGATCCTGGGAATATAGTGATGAATAAATAAATCTGGTGGGATACAGAGCATTATAGTATACAGGGAAGATACAAAGTGCTGTGAAGTGCCTCATGGGAAGTATCTGACCTAGATTTAAAGAGTAAGAAACAGCTTGCTGAAGAAAGTGAGATGGAAAATTGGTTGATAAAGTTTTTTTTGTTTGTTTGTTTTTGTTTTTTGTCTTTTTTGTGACCCGTCGCACCGCACTCAGCCAGTGAGCACACTGACCATCCCTGTATAGGATCTGAACCCGCAGCAGGAGCGCTGCAGTGCTCCCAGCGCTGCACTCTCCCGAGTGCGCCACGGGGTTGGCCCGATAAATTTTTCTAAACAGAGTAAATGGTAGATGTAAAGACTCAGCATAACATAACTTGACTTAATTGAACAATATGAAAGGTATTCAGTGTGACTTGAGTTGGTGAAAAGCATGGATTAGCAGGAGAGATTTAGCTGGATTCTCTAATCATGCTATTACAGGCCTTATTAGGTAGTCCAGACTTTATCACGCAGGCATTGACAAATTAATTGTTCAGGATTATAAAGAGGTTTACCTTATAAACATCATACTGGCTACAATAGAATGGCTTACAATGGAGCAGACCAGAGACTAGAAAACTGTAGACAAAGATCATTTTTGCTTTCTGTTAGGGAACTGGCAGTCAGAAATATATGTATGCATGGACAGAATTCAGGAGATTTTTATAAAAGTTAGTCAGCAGGACTTCGTAATTGGACATTTGAGGGAGTGGAACAGGGAAGAGATGTTAACACCTGTGCCCAAGGTGTGGCTTGATGAACTGAGAGAAGAATAGGCAGTGCCATTTACTGAGAGAGGAAACTGAGGAAGAGGACCTATCTGTGTAGATTAAACTTTCAAAGGATGTTGCATACCTAAGTGAAAAAGTCCAATATACAGTGAGATATATATATATAAAATTTGGAATCATGTAAATTAGTAAATCCATTACTGTAGATATATTCACAAGAAATGCACCTGTATAAGAAGATAGCCTAGAATGGAAACCTTGGGAAAATACTGACTTTTAAGAGATAGTTAGAAGAATCCACAGGTAAGACCAAGAAATATCAGAAAAGAAAGAAAGGAAGAAAATAAGGAGGAAGGGAATCCAAGGAGAAAAAGTTGCAAGAAGGAGGAAGTAGTTGAGTTGAGAACGATTTTTTACCTTCAAGCCAAGAAGATTGAGACAGAAACTAAATGGGAAAATCAGAAAAGTAGAACCTCCAGCAAAGGTGCTTTTTTGCCCCAAGACATTTATCTGTCTAGATAGGAAAAAAGAGAGTCTGGCAGTTTCTAGAAGAGCATTTATTACTCATTTAATTTAGTTTCTGTCTTACCTTATTATGAAGGGAGTTGTTACTTAAGCTGGGCTCTTCTAGCCTATCCAGGCCTTAGGAAGTAAACATTTCCCTAGGGCTCAGTGTGATTAGAATGCCAGAGTCATGAAAGCTATTTCAAAATTATAATAATTTAAATAATTCTTATTTAACAAAATCAATGTATTTTCTGTTCTGTCTCCATTTTGCCTGTATTGTTGGTGTTACAAAGAAGATGTGCTGTGGTAATTACTTTTTTATTACTACAGCATTTGCTATCATACCTTTTTTTTCCCCTACACATTATTCTCTTTTTTATAGGTATAGCAGAAAAGACACAGCTTCTGAAATTGAGCATACCTGCTACCTTTATGCTTGTGTCCTTAGATGAGGGACCAGGTCCTCCAATCAAATATCAGTGTGCTGAATTAGGCAAGTTATATTCAGTAGTGTCTCAGCTGATCCGTTGTTGCAATGTCTCATCAAGAATGCAATCTTCAATCAATGGTAAAGTAAAATGTCTATTTTCTAAAGTAGTTTTAGAATAATGCTAGCCTGATTTAGTACTTGATTGGAAATAATTCTGAAGATCTATAAAGATGAAGAGTCTGATGACCCATGCTTTTAGAATATTATATTTTTAAACTGTTAAGCTTTTTCATATCAAAAGGGATCTTTTTTTCTTAATCTGTTTTTGTGTACTGTGATAAATAGTACGTTATGAAATGGTCGATTAAAGAATTTTTAACTTTGTCTTCAGTGTCAGCATTTTATATTTTTGTCCTTTATCAGCTGGGTATATCTATTTTAATCAAGTTTTTTATTGTGCTTATGAAACTTAATTTAAAAATCAGATTTTTTTTTTTTAAATAAGAAATTTGGTATTATATAATTTTGTGGGATTTTGTGTTGAAATCTATTTGCTTCTCATTGATGACAAATCTGTTCTAGGTAATTCCCCTCTTCCCAATCCTTTTGGTGACCCTAATTTATCACAGCCTATAATGCCAATTCAGCAGAATGTGGCAGACATTTTATTTGTGAGAACAAGTTATGTGAAGAAAATTATTGAAGACTGCAGTAACTCAGAGGAGACCATCAAGTTACTTCGTTTTTGCTGCTGGGAGAATCCTCAGTTCTCTTCTACTGTCCTCAGTGAACTTCTCTGGCAGGTTAAAGGAACATGTTCATATATCTATAATTTTACTCATTCCTTTAAATAAATAATTCACTACATCTTACCTATTTTTAGGTTGCATATTCATACACTTATGAACTTCGGCCATATTTGGATCTACTTTTGCAAATGTTACTGATTGAAGACTCCTGGCAGACTCACAGGTGGATACCCTTTTGCTACCAGAATAATTACAATTTCCCAGGTTCTAGAAATAACTGGAATTGCAAATAGCCAAATATATTTTTACCTTTTGGAGCTCTATTTAATGTTTTATCTTTAAAAAACAATGTAAAAATGAATGAAAATTTCACATTTATAACAATTTTATTTAGTCAGTATTTTCTCTAAATGCTGAAGTTTCATACTTTATACTAGTTTTTTCTTCCATTTAATGTTTTTATTTTAATTTTTTTAAAGGAAACTAGCATAGGCTTTTGATAAGTATTTAAGTTCTGTTAATAATATTTTAAGATTATATTTTACTTGTTTTAGAATTAGTTATGCTAGATAGTATTTACTTATCTAAAAATAATTCCTAGCCTTTAATTGTTACCTTTTTTAGTATAAGGGAAATCAGAGTGATAGTTTTTTACAACTAAAGTTATCCTAATAGGTCTTTAAACATCTCCAAGAATTTCTGTATGAGTTCTCTGCAGTGAAAATAAGTCTAAGAATGATGGTATATTATTAGTTGCTCAATTCTGCCAGATAACCCTAGCTTTCCTTCCCACAGGAATTATTTATGGTAGTTTATTTTAGGAAACATACATGTATATTGTCAGTTGTCAGCCATTAGACACTAATAAGCAAAAGAAACACCTGAAATAAACTAAGCTTTTTCTAAAGCTATAGAACACAATGCTAAAAGATTAATCTTACATTCCTGAATTTCAGTGAACTGGAAATACTAGATTTCTTGAGTGAATATTTTTAGATTATCACCCAGTGTACCATCATGGATTTAAACAGATCAGTTAATGTTGTAAAATGGCATTCATTCATTTTTGCTGTGAAACAAAAAAATGAAAAATTCCAACCTGTAGTCATTTAGTATTTAGTACTTAGTTCGGTTTCAGTTGGTATTTTAAAAATTTGATTTTTTGGGGCCGGCCTGTGGCTCACTTGGTAGAGTGCGGTGCTAATAACACCAAGGCCCCGGGTTCGGATCCCACATAGGGATGGCCGGTTCGCTCACTGGCTGAGCATGGTGCTGACAACACCAAGTCAAGGGTTAAGATCCCCTTACTGGTCATCTTTTTTTAAAAAAAAGGTTTTTTTTGGATTTTTTTATGAGTTTGCTTTAATGAGATCTAATTTTTATTTTATTTTATTTTATTTTTAAGAGCTTGTTTACTATGTGACTAATTTTTGCTTTAAACTAGTTAATCACATCTTAGCATTCTTGTTTCATCCAAGGAAGAGATCGTTGTAAAGGTATAAATGCTGGGTTATGTGGAAAATATAGGTGGTGTACAAAATTAGTGAAGTATTATCATTATGAGCCCAAACTCGAAATGTTTTGTATAAAGAACATTTACTTTATTCAATAAACAGTATTCACCAGATATTTATAAAGCATCTACTATGTGCCAGGCACTGTTCTAGGCAACAGAAAACAAGATGGTCAAAGATAATATTGATTAAAATCACATACAAAAACTGTTGACCTGGGCCAACCCCGTGGCGCACTAGGGAGAGTGCGGCACTGGGAGCACAGCGATGCTCCCGCCGCGGGTTCGGGTCCTATATAGGAAAGGCTGGGTGTGCTCACTGGCTGAGCGTGGTGTGGGCGACACCACACCAAGGGTTGCGATCCCCTTACCGGTCACGAAAAAGACAAAAAAAAAAAAAAAACTGTTGACCCTAATGGTGTGGTATGGCTAAACTGTTGGGGTTAGAACCCATGCAAGTAAAAACATGATAAAAAGATCAGATTGCTGAAAAAAAAAAAAAAAAAACTGTTGACCCTAATGGTGTGGTATGGCTAAACTGTTGAGTATCACTTTATTATAACTTAAAACTGAATGACACAGTATATGCTGTAAGTGTTTGAAGAAGCCTATGCATGTTAATTTTTTGTCTGAAATGATTAGACTTTGAAAACTTATTTTCAAATTATCCGTACTATAAATGCCTATATTATAGTAAACAAACTTGCTTTTAACTTGGAATATAATGATATTTTATTAAGTTAGGCATAGGAGGTTTTTCTAGTTACTTTTTGTCCAAGCAATGACAAAAAGAAAGAAGGCATGGCTTAACCTATAAAAAAAAAAATTTAATGTACTGTCGAGAAGAGGGAACAAGTGGCTGTATAAAATGTTATGTTACAATTTAGCTAGAGCTGAAATGAAATAATTGATTATTAGCAAATCAGCCAAGTTATTGTTGCCTGTGAATATTGTTTTACTCTTCGTGTATGTGTTCTTACTAGTAGAATTCAAGTTAATTTCGTGCTGTCAAGCATATCATTGTTTCGAAGTCTCTGGATACTTATTTTACATTCTGAAATGTAATCTGTGAAAAAATGAAATAGCTGGAAGTAAATTATTCTCACCTTAAGTAGTCTTCAAGAATACACCAAGAACTAGTTGACTTTTATGAAAGTAATGTAGCATTGTTATCCTGAAGTTACTTTTAGCATTTAAATTATAGCAATATCAGAATTATTTAGATTGATATTTTGGCTAGAACTCAGACGCTTTAGTCAGATTGCTGGGCAGCTCCCCAACCTGCTAACTTTGAAATATTTGGCAAGCCATTTAACCTCTCTGTACTTGTTTTCTCATGTGTTATGTGGATTTTCTAAGGTACTTACTTTGGAAACTAACTCTAGGGTTAGTTAGATTACATGATTACATCAAAAATGTGTACTGAATGGCACAGAGTAAGCACTTAAATGGTAGCTACTAATAGATATTATAATTTCTACACCTGCTTTTGGGGGGTTTATTCTTTGGTTTTTTTTCAGAATTCATAATGCACTTAAAGGAATCCCACATGAACAAGATGGGCTATTTGATACAATCCAGAACTCTATGAATAATCAAAAAAGAGCATATCAATGTATAAAATGTATGGTAGCTCTATTTAGCAATTGTTCTGTTGCTTACCAATTCTTACAGGTGAGAGTTTTTTCTTATAATTTTACAGAAGTCTGAGTCAGAATTAAGAACTATTTATAAAGAGAATAATTATAAAAATTTGGAGTCAGCATTTTAGGTTGACATTGAAAATTATTCTAAATTCTTTTACATATATAGTTTTGTTTTCTTTTGAAGAGTAATGGAGATGTTAAAAGAACGTGGACCTGGGCTGTGGAATGGCTTGGAGATGAACTTGAGAGAAGACCATATACTGGCAATCTTCAGTACACTTACAACAATTGTTCTCCAGTACAAAGCAACGAAACATCAAATGGTTATTACTTAGAAAGATCACATAGTGCTAGGATGACACTTGCAAAAGCTTGTGAACTATGTCCAGAGGAGGTAAACAAAAAAAAAAAAAAAAAGGCTACCAATGGGCAGCTGGATAGAAAAAAAGAAAAACAGCATTTTTTTTATTTTATAGGCTGATGTTTATGTACTAATAATTTTGTAAAAAAAATGTGTTGCAGTTTTGTTTAGTGGTTAGCATTGATTGATTTGTTAACAAGGGAATTGACTTTTGGAAAACTTTCTGTGAAGTTGTGGAAAAGTCATATATCAGGAGGAATTCAATTTTTTTTTTCTTGTTATAAATTATTTTATCTACAGTAAATGAAAACATGTTAAAGAGGTCAACATTTGTACATTTTTTAAAAAATTATTTTAAATGAGGGAGATTAAAAATAAATTTGACGTTGCTTTTATAAGAAAATTATTAATCTCTTCAAATATTTAAAATTAGGAGCCAGATGACCAAGACGCCCCAGAGGAGCTTGAGTCATCTCCACCAGAAGATGCCCCATTATATCCTCATTCTGCTGGATCTCAGTATCAACAGGTGATCAGGAGTTTTTTACATTTTTATCTTCCAAACGAATTTTTATCCTTTAAAACGTGTACAGTTTTTTTCTTAAATGTTTTGTAACGTATCAGCTGTGACTGAAAAGTAATAAGAAAATAGAAGGCTTTGTCAAGATGATCACAAGAGTAGTGGCTGGAGTGGAGTCGTGTAGCAACAGGTTTTATATTATCCCTCTGGTATATTCTTTGTCCACTAGGCACCCCTCTTGTAGCTAGTACATGTAGTAAATAAAATTATGTGATATTTCACATAACAGAAAATTAGTAACTGTTTAAGAAATGTTAAGAGCAAACGTGTCTTATTTACTTAGCAGCAAGATTCAGTGGCAGTAAAAATGATTAAAAATCAACTCTTTGGTTTCATTAAGTAGTTTCCTGGAAAAAAATAAGTGAGGCAAAATACAGATTAAGGAATTTAATGAAAACCTCAAATTTCAAAACAGATACCAAGGGGGAAAGCTTCTGAGAATATTGTCCTGAAGTTAAGTCACAAATATGACTAATTCAGTTATTTTAAGGCAGTGGTTCTTAAATTTAATAAGTATGATAATACTCACATAAAGGCACATGTTAAGAACACAGGTTTCTGGGTCCCACCCCAAGATTTCTTACTCAGTAGAGCTCAAGAGTTTACATTTCTAACAAATTTCCAAGTGCTGTTGATGTGGCTAGTTGTGGACCACACTTGGAAAACTACTTCTTTTAACACAACACTTGGTTATAAAAGACTTTAGTATTATTAGAAACTCACAGGTTCATATGTTTATATTTTCTCAAAACACTTTTCCACATGTACTTATCTTCCTTACAATATAGGAATCAATTTGTAAGTATTTTTATAACTGCTACCTGACATTTTGTAAAAGGTAAGCCATAGGGATAAAAGAAATGTATACTTTAGACAAACTTCAGCCTATGATTTTAAATTTTAATTATAATGTGTGAGAAGTTTGACGTGCTGGTCTCTTTTGCCCTCTTAGAATAATCATATGCATGGACAGCCATATACTGGGCCAGCAGCACATCACTTGAACAACCCTCAGAAAAGTGGCCAACAAGCACAAGAAAATTATGAAGGCAGTGAAGAAGTATCCTCACCTCAAATGAAGGATCAGTGAAATGCACATAATTAGAACCGTTTCCTTTATGACCATACACTCAGGCCTTATAGTCCAAACTTTTTCTGTGCCTGGCTAGTATTTAAAACTAGAGAAACTGTTCCAAAGTAACATGGAGTGGAGACTGTATTCACTATCTCATTTTCAGAAATTTACTGTCAGTATATAAGCCACCTGCAGGGGAAATTGTATAGTGTTTTATAGTAAATGTCTGATACTAAAATGTAAATGGCAGAGGTGAATGTAATATATTAATGTTTGACGGTTAATTCATAAACAAGAAACTTTTTTGAAGAGTCAGAGATATACAGAAATAGAAAAATTAATTTTCTTGTTATGCCCACTGTATTCTGCAGCCTGTATTGCCTGCTCTACAGAGTCAGAACAACTCCTTTACCAAAAAAAGAAAAAAAAGGATGTAAAAGAGCCCATCTGCACCAGTCACACCAGTAGTTTCTTGCTAATTCTTTATTAGTGGATATGTAAGGCTAGTAGTTAACCTTTGAATTATATGGTTGATGTGGAAAATTGGTGATGTAACATTGTTTCTAGGTATTTTCATTACCTTTTTATTCTGGAATTAGGCTAATAACTTTAAATCTGTAGTTATGCTGTAACATTTAGCATGGCTTCATGCCAAGTTTGTGTAGCCAGTGGGGACAGAATTACCTGAATGACAGTAGTTCTTCCAAAGCTCAGTGTTCTTATTTCTTCTACCTAGAATAAATATAAAATGGAAAGAAATGTGACAACCAGTTTATAGATGCACATAATTCTTCACATTTAATATTTGATAGTCTCTTGATGGGAAAAAGCATATCAAAGTATCAATAACAGGAAGTTTAAACAAATAAGCAAAATTTTACTATGCCAGAATTTTTGAAGCATAATAGAAGACTATTTGGTGTGCTCGTTTTGGGGGGTTTTTTTAGTAGAATTTTTAGATGAAGCCTCTAAAACTTTGCTTCTGCTGGATCTCAGTGAAGTGGACATCATCAGAATCCAGAATCCACCATACTTTGAAGTACCATTGTACTCAGATGTCTGGCTGATTTTCTATTCTAGTCAGTCAGTTTTACTTGAAAGAAAAAACATGTTCTAGTTCTTTTTTCATTATTCCCAAATTCTTATTGTTAGATATAGGGTTCACTTAATATGTAAACTTCTGTTTAATAAATATAATTCTGAGGTATCATTTTAGAATAAATACTTGTTTAAAGATTCCAGGAAACTTATGCATTAATACCATATTTGAAAGAGAATTGGTAACTTTGGAATGTGTGTAATATTTTCAAACCTGTCTAAAAACCAAATATCCCTGCAGATAACTACCCATCCTATACTATTTAAATATTTTGCTGTTTTGTTTTATAGAAGTTATTTTGCTGAATTCCAAATAGAATTTGATTTAAGAAGAATTTTGTCCTGTGGTGTGTTTTTGTTTCTTGTTACTCTTTTGTAGTGTTTTTAGTGAGTACATATTAAAATAAATTTCTTGCATAATCTGCCTTCGCATTACACTGAATTCAGCATTTCAAACACATTTAGTTTTTGTGCATAAAAGGATTTGGCCCTCAACCCTTTACTAAGGATTTAGAAAAAGAAAAATACTTAAGATATTGGCACTGTAAAAAATTTATTAACAGAATCAGACTTATACATTGGCACATTTTTATGTAGTCAGACCTTGCTATTCACAGTATTTATGATCTGTAAAGTCACCATGAATACCAAATTATTGCACATTGAGCCATTTTTATGTAAAAACATTTCACATGTCAATTCTCTGTCAAACTCTCTTTGTAACTCGGATTTGATAAGTCTATTTGATGTGATATCCCTTTGCCCATTGTTAGACATGAAGGGCCATACATAAAGTGTGTTCCTTATCCTGAAGAAATACAACTCATTGGTCCAAATTGGTACCATATCTTTTGTTCCAATCTTTTTGTAGTATTTTGAGCATTAGTGTATACCACCGGGTATTCAAAGCCCAGTTCACAGTACACAGGACCCAATTATAACATTTCAGAACTTCTGATATTAATCTCTTTTAATCCAGCTGTGTTCAGGGATTTCTCATCTACCCATGGTCATCTGCAGTCTCTCTCTCTTCTGGTCTACAGGTAGTTCTTGACATTTTGTACCTCATAGAGGACAAAAGGAGTATGTCTATTATCCCATCCCTGCATTATTACAGCCTGCCCGTGAAGTGGCCACCTATCCACTTGTCAGTTCCAGTCACCTCCCAGTCCTGGAGAGGATTCTTATGATGGGCATCAACATTCCTACTATAATGTACCCCATAAATTCTCGTAATTTCCATAGGGCTGCTTTTACCTTGAGAAATGCACTTAACATCTGGGGTACTAGAGGTAAGTGATATGCCTGTGACTGAAATGTGAGAGTTATTAACTAGAACTCTTGTGGTTTTCCTGATGTTACTCAAAGCCTGTCAAGAGTTGGATCAGGTCAAGAAGATATCTGGTGAGAGAGAGAAGAGTCTGAAAATGTGACCTTTAACATCATCTGGTTCTGTCAAGAAAAGCTGGGACTCAAGTAGTCAAGATGACCATCTGTTCAATGCTTTCTGTGTGCTATTGCTTTACACGTCTGACACCTTATGAGGTAGGGAAAGTAATGACAATGACAATAATTACTGTTACAGTAATAACAATTCAAGAACGACATCAGATCCAAATCTCTTAACCAAATTATGATAGTAATTGTAAATTGGGACTTTTACCACTTAAAGGCAAACTGTGTTTCTTTTCCAAGACTGGCACAGAGAAGAAAGCATCTGCAAGATGAATCACTGAATATTACTTGTAACCTCCTTGATTTTTTTGTACTGTTGAAAGCAGTGTCAGACACTGCTGATGCAATGGGTGGCACTACTTTATTCTAGGTTAATTTGCATGAACCACTTGCTTTTTTCAAGGATCACACAAAGCTACCATACAGAGAATTTATCAGTACTTGTAACTTCTGTCATTATTCAGTAATTAAATGGCAATACTGTTTCAAATGAACAATCTTTGTTGGCTCAGTTTTAGTTCCCATTTAGTGTATCCAATCAAGACCGGCCTGAGGGCATCTTTCATTTCTTCAATTTTATTATACAATGCTAAGTAGAAGTGTTCCCCAGTCAGACACAAACCACCTCACTTAGAGTCTATTAGTCTCAATTTCCATTCAAACTTTTATCTTTAATTCTATTAACTCTTGCAACTTCATATCCTCCCAACCTAAGTCCTCAACAGGATTTTGGCACCAGATCTTGGAATCACAGTGCGTTGTGCTCTTATTTCAAAGAATCTTAGGAAAGTCTTGTTTTTATCCCCTGCCCATTTTATCCACACATATGCTTTAAATCCTGACTCTTCTGTCAATCTTCATGTTGATTCATTGACCAAACCATCATCTCAGGCTAGCAATTCAAAGTCAACTTTCTTGGTGTCATCTTTTCTTCTGGCATTTTAAATTCCTCCAAGCTAGGATAAATAGAGTGATGTATTTAGGGCCCTTTAATGTTGGTAGATCAGTCCCATTGGTTCACCTTACGTCCAAAGTGCTGCACTAAGACATTTTTATCCCCTAATTAACCATCTGAAGATTTATTTCTGTAATGAATGTTTATCTCCTTTCCCTTCCTTTCTTTTTGGTGAATCACTCTTAATTTTCTAAGTATCTGTAAGACCTGTAAAGTGGAAGCTGACACAAATTCAATATGGCTCCTTGGTTGCTAAATTTTGCATCTGTACGGACACATGGGGTACCTATACAGAAGGGACTCCCTAATCAGGGGTCATTTATTGTGACCCGGGCAAGGGGGATATTCAGTGGATGAATATCCAGATCATCATGAAGCCAATTCAGCATTGTTTGCATAAGAGCATACATCTGTTTCATAATGGGGAATTCCACTTGTCATACATGAGAGGGAAAAGGGCTATCTCCCTTCTTAAGATAAACTTTAAGGTGGACTTTATCAAGAAGCTAGCTCTCTTTTTGGAAATAAATAACCTGTTTTGTACCTGAATCATATATAGCCAGCAATCTGTGATTGTTCGATACTGAGCTGTGGATCCTGCATCAACCCATACATGATCTTCCCTCTGCACCAGTCAAAACTAAATAAATTGCTTCTAACTAGGTCAGTCTCACAATTCGTTTCCTCAGGAAGCTGACAATACCAATTCACAGAATGATAAAACTCCTTCAACTCTGTACCTCCTGATTTCAGGGTGAAATTTAAAAATGGCATTAACATACTGAGAGTCTGTACAGAGTGGGGGGACCACTAAGCATATGACTTGTTAGCCTCTTTAACTAGTAAAACAGTTGCCGTTATGGCTCAGAGACAGGTTGGCTATCCTGCAGCTCCACTGTTCAACCTCTTGGAGAGGTCGGTGATAGGCCTCTTCCATGGTCCCAGGACTTGTGTGAGCACCCCCTTGGCAGTGCCTCACATGTCAGTAGCCAACAGGCTGAAGGGCTTCATCAAATAAGGTTCAAAGGCAAGGAGAGGTTGGCTTGCTTTTGCCAGTGGGAGGCTGAAGAATGCATCCTTAAGATGTAGCTTTTTGGTTTGTTTCTGTTCTGGGCTATCTCTGTCATTAAAGACCCTCTGGGCAACTTCAACCAGCTCAGATAACAATTTTCCTTTAAATCCTTCCTGTCTTTGAAGCTTTGTCCTAATGTCTAGGGCTGACTGGGTAACAAAGGCAATATTGGGCCGGCCTGTGGCTCACTCGGGAGAGTGTGGTGCTGATAACACCAAGGCCACGGGTTCGGATCCCATTATATATAGGGATGGCCGGTTTGCTAACTGGGTGAGTGTCGTGCTGACACCAAGTCAAGGGTTAAGATCCCCTTACCGGTCATCTTTAAAAAAAAACAAAGGCAATATTTATCGCCCGCCGGTTTTCTGGGGTCTTAGGGTCCACAGGAGTGTAGGTCCTGTAAGCCTCCATAAGGCATTCCAGGAAAGTGGCGGGGGTTTCATTTGGTCCCTGGATCGTTTCACTTACTTTTGATAGGTTAGTGGGCTTCCGGGCTGCTCTGTGGAGTCCCATAAGGAGCGTCTGGCAATACAGGTCGAGAGCCCCCTTACCTTGATATGTGTTTGGGTCCCACCCAGGTCTGTTAGAGGAGAACACGAATTCAAGGTGAACAGGGTCATCAGAGGGTCAGCCATCGTGATTGTGTTCTTCTGACATGAAGAGAGTCTGCAGGAGCTGATGACAATCATCCCATGTAGGCTGGTGTGTAAAGAAAACAGTCTCCAGGAGGGAGTTGAGGCCCTGAGGTTTTTCTGAGAAAGAAGGATTTTGATTTTTCCAATTGTAGTTCCAGGAGGCAAAGGAGCATGTTGGAGCAAGAGGAGGGTTTGGAGGAATGGCAGGGAGAGGACTGACATGCAGTGCCACTACTGAGTATGCAGAGGGAAAAATCAGGTCGGGGACTGTGGGGGATTTGGAGGAACAGCAGGGAGAGGCAGTGGCACTCTTGAGTATGGGAAACAGGCAAAGAAAGTCCAGAAATACACCCATAGTTCTGGTCAACTGGTTTTCAACAAAGTTGCCAGAGCAATTCTTTAGGAAAAAAGCACTACCATTTAAATATTTTATTTATATCTACCTAAATGTTGGCTCTGACAACTGTTACACTGTGGAGTTAATAAGGCTGTATATTTTTTTAAAGTAATGAACAGAGTATGCTTTCTTAGCTGCCTAATTCACATTTTTCTGAAGTGTTTTGTCAGTTAATGCTTTCAACCAACTTAAAAGTAATGTTTTCCTCATTTTCTCCATTAGTGGAAAGAAAGCAGACAAACCTGTGTTTAACAGTAAGGTCAGGGCCGGCCTGGTGGCGCACTGCTACAGTGCGCCGCTTGGGAGCGCGGTGGCACTCCCGCCGAGGGTTCGGATCCCACATACAGACCGGTTCCCGCTCACTGGCTGAGTGAGGTGCGGGCGCAACACCGAGG